CTCTCTCTCTCTCTCTCTCTCTCTCTCTCTCTCTCTCTCTCTCTCTCTCTCACACACACACACACACACACACCTCCATCCTTTGATCCTATTTTAAGTCTGCAGCAGTGACGGAATGTGCAGCGTCAGCAGCACTGCAGAGTGAGGTTCCTCGGAGAAGCCCTGGGCAGTTTGGGAGAATATCAATTAGTCCAAACTCCTCTGGCAAGTCCTGCCTCTGGAGCTGAAGGCTGACACCAAGTGTGTACGTGCGCGCGAGCGCTTTATTTTTTTATTTTGCACTGAGCAAATGTGTTAGCGAGTGGGTGTGTAGGTAAGCAAAAACAATGCGCGCGTGTGTGTCCACTTGCAAATGCATATAGTGTATAGGTTACCACATTAATATTAATACGGCTGTGATACAGGTGAAGGACCTGGGTATTTGGGTGCTGGAGGGCTTAATAGAATGGTAATGAGGGTGAAGTCGGGTCAGGCCGTTTGTGATTTAGAGGATGAGATATGGGGGGGGGGGGGGTTCAGGTCGGTGAATGTAAAATATATCAGTTTGGTTGTGTCTGCAACACAGAAACTTGCAAACACACACTGCAACTCATTCAGAAGGATGCGTATCTTAAGACAATGTTATGGGTACTTTTTTCTGTTTAATCTCACATAGATGGGATTAGCCACTGACCTTTGGTGTGGCCCTAAACTGGCTCATGTGTCTAGCTGCAGTCCGCAGATTATACCTGAGGTGAATGGAGGTGTAAGACACCTACAGGTCCATCTGACGCCCTGCCTATACGTTTGATAGCATTACTGCTAACGACAGCTCCTACATACTCACATAGTCACATTACCACACACATTTCACAGACACATAAGCAGGTCGTCCTCTTCTTAAGCCCCAAATCGAAATGAAAGAGGAACAGATCACTAAGACAGATGGAATAAATCCATTATAGATACAGGAAATCCATTCCTACTCTCAAGAAGCACACACACACACGGTGCACACAGTATATGCCATTTAAGTTTTGTACAGAAACAGTTTCCTACGTTATTTAACCCTGATTGGTCAAATTACACACACAAATTAGGTCCATTTAATTGTGACCCTGCCCTAGCCCGGACTGTAAGAAGTGGACGTACTCGTCGTGACGTCACCCATTGGTATGTGGACTGCCGTTTCGAAGACTCAAGTTTGGCATTGTGGCTGTCGCCATCATGGATTTTGGCCATCCCCACCTCAGATTTTTGCAACCAGTGAACGGAAGTGACCATATTTGAACTGAGGAAGAGTGATGTAGAGAGACCATATACGACCTGTCAATCACAAGGTAGCCCCGCCCTAAAGCATACTTCGCTTTGTGGTCTATTTGACTCTAAATGGACCATAGTTTACTAAATGAACAACTGGAATAGCACAAAGGTGCACCCACACTGTTTTTCTTCAATTATTACTAGCAATACTCATTTTCACATTAAAGGAAGGAGTACATTTGATTCAAAGATATTGCCTAATGGAGCTTTTAGATGTATGAAGTGCCTTGCTGGAGAAAAAAAATGGACCTAATCACCATGCTTTGCATATGAATCATAAACTTCTTTATG